TGACATGGAAGCTGACGTGGATAAAATTGATGGGGTCAGCTGCCACAGTGGAGGGACATTAGCGTTAGGGGTAATTTTGCAAACTTTGTTAACGGTAGGGACGAGAATGGCCGAAAAGTGTAACGGGTGGCACAAGCAACCAATAAACAATAGTAGAGGAACAATTTTGACCCTTTTCCCTAAAAAGTTTAACAGATAGCAATAGAAGAGTGATCAGCAATCCAGAGGGTATTGAACCGGAGATAGTGGGGGTCTATGAAGGGTTATTAGGGAGATCAACTAGTAACATGCCTACTATTAATCCTAGCATAATGAGGAATGGTCCAAGACTTACAAGATCACAGCAGCTTCAACTTATAGGCCCTTTTTACTAAGGAAGATGTGCAGACAGCCTTGCAGGGGATTGGTGACTCAAAGGCTCCAGGTGGAGATGGTTTCAATGCCTACTTCTACAAGAAGACTTGGCATATAATTGGAAAAGACATTACAGAAGTTGTTCTGAAGTTCTTTGATGATGGTATAATGTATAAGCCAGTAAATAGGACAACAGTTACTTTGATCCCAAAAGTGAAAAATTCTTCTTCTATAAAGCAGTTTAGGCCAATATCCTGTTGCACTATAGTTTACAAAATTATTTCCAAAATGCTCACAAATAGGCTGCAGTCAGTAATGGGAGTCTTAGTTGATCTGAGTCAGGCAGCATTTGTACCAGGGAGAATACTGAGTGACAATGTTCTACTGGGACATGAACTTGTTAAAGGATATGGGAGAAAAGGTGTGTCACCAAGATGAATGGTCAAAATTGATATGCAAAAGGCGCATAATTCTGTAGAATGGTGTTTCCTTGAACAAATACTTGCAGAATTGAATATCCAAGGGAAATTTCTTTCTTGGATCATGGCATGTGTTACTACAGTGTCTTATGCTATTGTGGTTAATGGAAAGCCAACAACTCCTTTTGATGCTAAGAGAGGAGTTAGACAAGGTGATCCATTATCACCATACTTGTTTGAGCTAGCTATGGAATATCTTACAAGGATCTTGAAGACTCTTAGAGAGAAACCTGACTTTAATTACCATCCTAGGTGTGAGAAGCTGAATATAATCCAACTCAGTTTTGCAGATGACTTGTTGTTGTTTTGCAGAGGAGATGTGGTGTCTATACAGCTATTGTATGAATGTTTTCAACAGTTTTCAAAGGCTTCAGGACTGATTGCTAATCAGGAAAAAAGTTGTATCTACTTTGGAGGGGTTACTGAAGATATCAGCAAAACATTATTCAGTGCTTAGGTTTTTCTAAAGGCTCTTTGCCTTTCAGATACTTGGGAGTCCCATTGAGTAGTAAAACATTATCTATTACTCAATGCCAAGCTTTACTGGATAAGATGTTAGGCAGAATCAAAAACTGGACAGTAAAGTTTCTGTCTTAAACAGGCAGGTTACAGCTGATCAAGAGTGTTCTGTTTGTTATCCAATCATTTTGGTCACAGATATTCCCTCTACCTAAGAAGATCTTACAAGTAATTGAGACAATTTGCAAGAGGTTTCTGTGGACAGGTGAAACAGAAAACCAAAGCAAAAGCCTTAGTAGCTTGGAGACAGTTATGTTGGCCACAATCTGCAGGGGGTCTGAATATCACAGATATGGTTATATAGAATAGAGCTGCACTAATCAAACAACTGTGGAATCCAAACATGAAGAAGGATAGATTGTGGATACAGTGGATTCATGCTTACTACATCAAGAGGCAAGTAATATGGCAAGTGAAAGCTAACCAAGCTTCATGATTGATACAAAAAATTCTGGGAGCTGGTAAATACTTAACTGAGGCCAACATAGCAATTGAAGAAGTGTTGAGCATGAAGAAGTACTCCATCAGATTGATATATAACAAGTTGAGAGGTGATCTACCTAAAGTGGAGTGGAGGAGAGTACTGTGTAACAACTGGGCAAGTCCTAAATGGAGATTCATTTTGCACTTGGCAATCCTGGAAAGATTATATACAAGAGACAGATTACTGGGATGGGGCATAGCAATAAGTTCAGCATGCTCATTATGTGAAAGTGTAGCAGAAAGTCATGAGCACCTGTTCTTTCAATGCAACTACTCAGCAAGTATATGGCGTAAACTGCTACAATGGATGGGGATACAAAGGAATGTACAAGGATGGGATGCTGAAAAACAGTGGGCAATAAGGCATGGATCAGGAAAGAAGCAAATGTGTGCAACATTCAGAATGGTACTCGTTTGTGCTGTTTATTATATTTGGCAGGAACGAAACTGGAGAACCTTCAGAGGAACACAAAGAAGCAGTGAGGAAATGATCAAACTGATAATCCAAGAAGTGCACTATCGTGGAATGTTAAATTCTAAGATAGCGAGACATTTACAGAATTTCAATTTTTATCCATAGTTTGTAGGTGAGTAGCTATGTAGTTATGAGGACACTAGATATGGGGCTGCATGTCCAAATCTATGTGAGTTTTGAGGGTTCTTGCTATACTTGTAAATATTTTCCCTGGTAAAAAGAAATTTAATTACCAAAAAAAAAAAAAATCCAACAAAAATGTCATGCAGGTAATCAAGCTTACACTTTATATATATTCTTCACAAAGTACAACCATACCTAGGAACACAGACACGAGACCTGGGTCATTTCAACTAAACTCGGACTTGAGATGTGAAGTTGTTGCAGATGTTTGTTTTCAACTGTTAACTGTACGAGACAATCACTAACATCATAAAAAGAAAAGGAGTTTTTTGACACATAATCTCAATATATGCATAGTATCGAAATTACCTGTTTAAATGAAAATTGGTACCACATATTTCATTTTTTAGTACAAACTTTTTATATCAAGTGATGAACCCGTACAAAAATAAAACGAAGATGCTGATATGAATTAGTTTTAAAACATGCGACTTTTTTATGACACATTTAAGATAAAAATAATATAAATTGGAATAAAGGGAGTAACTGAATTATTCAATATCCAGTAATTAATTTTAAATGTGATAAGATAGTACAGTATATAATTTTAAAAGGAAATTTTACATTCCTATGCCACATAGGAAACCTTATTACCCTCAATGTTTAAGGTTTGACTTAATTACACTTAGTATACCAAATTATCAATTCTATACCATAATTAATTAAGGGTATAATTAATTATACGTTTTTTACTCCTTAATTAAAGGAATCTGTATAGATAAGTATCCCCAGTCATCCCACGTTTCTCTCTCTCCCAAAAATTCATTTTTGTTATACTATTGGACTACGAGTTTAAGATAAATTAATTTAACTGTAGGTAATAGTAGAAAATATATTAAGATATTAATACTAAAAAAGATAAATTCAAAAGAAAAGGTGCATTAGATGTTAATGCTTGAAAATCTTCAAAATGAAAAGCGTCATTTAAATTGAACTGCTTACTTATGGCAAGTAATTTCCAGATTCAAATATTGAGCAAAAAGTGAGCCATAAGCTGCCCAAAAATTGTAGACGTAGATGAATCCATAAAATCGACATCAGCTTTCTTAAAAATTAATAAATATAGTACAAGCTTATTACAGTGCGCAGACGCACTTAGAGATCATCTTAACAATTCATGCATAATAGGAAATAGAAGAATTTATTTTTGAATGGTCTCTCTCTCTATATATATGGAATTTTTACATTCCTATGCCACATAGAGAATGTCGACAAACTGAGCTTTTGCAATGGTGGAAGAATCTACAAACTGGGTACATTGAATTTTAATATCCCAATTCCCATTCAATTGTAGCTTAACTGGTATTTTCGATATAATTGCGTTTTTTGCAGAAGATTTTGTAGAAGTTTTAGTCGTTTTGGATTTGTGAAAACAGAAAAAAAAATGCATCTACAATCAGAATACAAATAATCTACAATTCATCTACAAAATATCTACAAACTGGGTATATTGAATTTTAATATTCCAATTCCCAATTGATTGTAGTTTAATTGAGATTTTCGACATAATTGCGTTTTTTCAGAAGATTTGTAGAAGTTTTAGTCGTTTTTTATTTGTGAAAACAGAAAACAAAGCATCTACAATCAGAATACAAATAATCTACAATTCATCTGCAAAATATCTACAAACTGGGTATATTGAATTTTAATATCCCAATTCCCATTCGATTGTAGTTTAATTGGGATTTTTGACATAATTGCGTTTTTCCAGAAGATTTGTAGAAGTTTTAGCTGTTTTTTATTTGTGAAAACAGAAAATAAAGCATCTACAATCAAAATACAAATAATCTACAATTTATCTACAAATTATCTATAATTTATCTACAATTTCTTCAATATGTCTTCTTCTTCTTCTTCGAGTTTCAATCTGAAATTCAGTCAAAACCAAGTCTAATCTTCACCAAAACCCCTCAAAATTTAGATATAAACTCCAAACCATATTCCCGATTATTTTCAACAACACCCAATCCAAACAAATAATGATTTTTGAAAACCCAAATTTGAATTCAAAGCTTTCAAGCTTTTTACTGGCTGTCAATGGTGGAATTGCTACTCTCTTTTCATTTGCTTTGTATTACTCAAATTTGCGATTGAGAAATAGAGAGAGATGTAGAGAGAATTTCTGGAAACAGAGTGTATCGCAAAAACAGAGTATGAAAAATCTTGTTCTGCGTTGTGGAAGATCAGAGTGAAGCCGACGATAATTATGGAATGTGCGTCATTTGCGTTGGGGAAGATCTGGAAAATATTTAATTCCCCCTTTTTAGCGCGCAAAATAAGGAATCATAAAGCTACAGTGATTCCTTATTTAATGCATTGTATATATTAGGTAGAAATACCATTAACATGAAGGATAATAAGCAAACTATGAAGATATTTGGTAATATAGTTTCATATATGGTATATATACGAAAAAGCCTCATTTAAACAAAAAAGTTACAAAGGAAGTCGCAACAAATAAAACGAAGATACTTTAAACTAATTCTCCAAAAGAAATACTCGTAATATGTTTTCATCTTCAGACAGGGTATTGAGTTCACCTTTTGTCTATGATTTTCATTGTCAATTCCTTGAAAAAGTCACAACCAACTAAGAGAAGTAATAATTCAGATGCTTTTTTCATCCAAACAATGTTTTCCAAAATAAAAAAAGATCAAAATTATTTTGATTAGAAATATAGTAGCAGCCTAATAATTGCAAAGCAGCCTGATAATTGCAACTGCATCAGTAGATGCTGCAAAATTCCATTCCCAGTAAATATTCTTTTTCTCTTCTACCACTGGATCAGCTACCCTCCCCGGAAAAGAAAAAGGAGAAAAGAATTAGCAGAAAATTACT